TAATCTGCTTGATGAACATTTGCCATAACAGAACTACAATCAAGATTAATATTAAGTCACTGCTCCGTGTTATTAGACGAACCTCGTAAGCAGCTTATTACGTATACAATATGTTTGTTCCTGCGAAACTTTTGAATACGCCGAGAGCTTTCACTTGGTTTCGGAGGCGCCGGCGCTATCGTCGAAAAAGTCCCCATGGAATATTCATATTGCAAGAATTCTTTTCATATGAAAAGTTTAACCCGAGATCTCGAACTTTTCTGAATATAAGCACATTCTGCATTCAGAAATAAATTGTGAAACCTGTTATGATAAATTGTCTGTATCATCTATTCTTAAATTGACAGAAATTTAATATATATATATATATTATATATATATATACTAGCTGTCCTGTAGAAACTAACTCCAAAAATCATGCTTTTAATAGATGATAAATGGTTTTAGTTCGTAACTAAAACTTTATTATTAACCTAACTTAATAAATAGTGTGTGAGAGAAATCGTATACACTTCATAAACTTCTGTTGTATAAAATATGTCATTAAATATCTATATGTATATATATATATATATATATATATATATATTAAACTGAAAATGAAAAAAATATGAATAGATTATTAATTAGGACTAAAGTCTGCTGAATATATAAACTAAAAAAAACTAAATCTGTGGAACCTAATAACCATTTAAACCGTTCCTGACTTAATTAAACCTAACAATTGTGAAAAAATTACTTCAAACAATGTATGTATGCACGAATGCAAGAAATTATTTATATATTTTAATTAACAAACAAAATCTAGTAAATTGTTTCATGTATTTTACACTATCACTGTTCATGTCGCAAAATATCTGACTGGCTTTACTTTTATTTATTACTTTATATTTATGTAATTATTGCTTTTATCAAAATTTTAACTTTAAACTCGCTTATTATTCAATTTAATGTTTTATTTATGTTTACTATAGTGTTGCTCGAGAGTACAAATAAAACCTTCATAATCTATATTTATTGCAGGGGAAAAAAAGGGACAATCAGTGGGAACCAGATCCAAACTATTTTTTTTTATTTTAAAAGGATTTTACATAGTAATATCTATATTATTCAATATCAATGCGGAATATCAATTCCATGGGCACATTTTGTATAAAGATAACACTGTATATAACCTTGATCTGGTATTTTGTCAAAAATCTTTATCAGCGGAGTTGGAATAACCTTTAATTTTTAAATTAATTTAAACAATAGTAACAATTAAATAACGCGCACTTAAATATATCCAGGTGTCATAAACTAAATAAAAAACCTCAAAAACTAAATAAAAAACAAAAAAACTACAAACGAAAAAATATCTTTTGCTATTAATATTGATACTTTGCTGTTTATCTCCTGATAGCGACGTCATTGGAATTAACGTTATTACTGATAATACATTTTTGCCATCTACTTTAAAACAATATTGTTAAAAAAATACCAGGCTCTACTTGTTTTTGGTGTGTAACCTTTTTATCCGCGGACCTTTAAGACCCTTTACTTTATTTAATACTTATTAATATATTCCTCTGCGCAAGAACAATATTGTAATATTACGTATTGAAAACACTTCTAAATTATCAAAAAAATCAAATTAAAAAAACGAACTAATTTCTTGTAAACATACACATAAGTTGTTTATAAAATACGCTTGTCGCCCAATTTAATAAGCACTTATAAATTTACAATAGGGGGAAGTCCCCTAGTGGCGGACACCTAAGGTTATTTATAAATAAATCAAAAAATATTTTACAAAATGTTTTTTGAATTGCGATTTATGTTAGATAACAAAGTTAGAAATCAAACCAAATTAACAAAACCGCAATCTTTGCTAAAAAAATAATTAATACTATCAATCAAACTTTGGTATAAAAAAATATGATTTTAAACAGTGGCACCTAGTAACGGACATTTCAAAATAACCTGCATTGATCACATATGCAGCCATTTTTACTCTTTCGAATGTTTGCACGTGTGTCTTTGACGAATATTCTTAGATATTGTAAAAAAATCACTATTTATCCACCCTTTTGGCTGGGCCACACCGATGCTCTCAGCTGGGGCATTCATCATAAGATTTTCATTATTTGACTAGGAAATACGAAGAATGGTAGTATGTAGTGCCCGTAAGCACTCATACAGAACAAAATTAA